GTCAGCCACAATAATTCGTGTGCAGCATGAATTTGCAGTTTGCATGAAGGAATGCAGATGAATTTGCAGGGTGGATGGATGGATGAAGATGATGGCTTGATGTTCTCACGACTGCGACCACCACTGTCAGGTGAGGAGGACATGTCTTGACTTTCACTACTTATTGGGTCTATTATCTATCCCTGCTGTACTTAGGTGTGTCCCAGTTCCCACTATGCTTATCCTCATCTATAGTGCTCCATGGGTTTAATATGGGTCTCAGGATCGCAGTACTGGTTGTTTCATCCTTGTATAGGGTAGGGCTACCCTAACCTGCTGAGCTTTCCAGCCATGGCCCTGTCTGACCGTTCTGACTGATATGTGTACTTCGCTTCGCTCTGCTTCACTTGGCTTCTCTGGACGAAAGACAACACACGTAATGTCTGTGCGAAACCATGCTGGTTCGGATTGCAAGCGAACTGAAAGCCCTGCTGGACTTCACCTTTTGAGACTGTGGACCTGAACCTTGACCCTGACATGCAATATTGTGCTGGACGAGCTTGGCGCATGCAGATTTGGGTAGTGGAAGAAAAAAAAAGCGCTGTGTTGGAGCGCACCGCCCTTCTGGCTTGATCTTTCTGGCGTGTGGCAGGCGCGCTGAATCTGCGACCGCTACATCCTGGGACACGGACATATGCTCTTGTGTGGGCCGTTTCTGAGGTAGGGCCGCTGCTCACTCCAGATGCTCGCTTTGGTTTGCAGCCCTGCAAAAGAGCATGCCGATGAGTTGGGATAAGCATTTCAGTTATGTGGAATACCAGAGTGCGCTCCGCACCTTGGTATCCTACCTGGTTTATGTTGGTGCGCTGGTGACACTGAAGTGTCTCTGTTTTTGCTTATTGCAATGAAAGCTGCTTGACGTTACTGCGCGCATTTTCTGCAGAGCAATCTTGAGAGACGTGCGCTCCGCACCTTGGTATCCTACCTGGATTACGTTGGTGCGCTGGTGACACTGAAGTGTCTCTGTTTTGCTTACTGCAATGAAAGCTGCTGGACGTTACTGTGCGCATTTTCTGCAGAGCAATCTTGAGAGACGTGATGCGGATGTACGTACGAAGTGCATATGACCGTTGGACCACCAAGTGAGTAGAATACCAGAGTACTTGTGGTGCTCTGGTATCCTACCGTGTCCTTGTCCTCGTCCCGAACTGAAACAAAGTGAGTGATGACAGTCTGAATTCAGAAGCCTGACGATGTGCAGTACATTCTGATTTTAATTCATAATTGGGAATTTGTAATTTGTAATTGTTTGCCCTTGATGCATGACTTTGCAGTTGAATTATTTGTTTACGGTGGAGACTCGGCTGATACGGAGCCTGGTTTTGCTTGGCGGCATTTTGCTGCAAACGCTGTGCTCAGACTTGCTTTTGAGGAAACCTTCCTGTCAATACGATGGGATTGCATGTGGGCATCACAGTCGTGCCTGTCTTGAGTGAATTCACTCGTCAGCTCCTAAGACCCTACTTCGCGACTCGCTCAGCCATGTAGGAGGCAAAAATAGATCTCGCCTTGTGGGATAGATTGCTGGGTAAAGAAAGCCGCGACATACCACAAGGCCTGACCAAACCCAGCTGGTTATAATATTTGCTGTAGCTATGACGTTGTTATAGAAACGGGAGAAGGAAATCAATAAGCCAATCGATCAATGAATACGCCAATGGATCCGCTCCATAGCGGGGAAGGGTTCGTCCAAAAAGGAAAGTCAGTTGCACCAATAAACCGTTGATCAAAAAACCGACTGACCCTGCCCATGTGGGGTAAACGATGGGTTTAGTGGTCGTTGGTTGTAGATAAAAAAACCGCCCGAGTGAGCTATAACTTTTTTGATACTGGTTGAAGAGGAATACCAATACACCAGGTTAAATCAGCCACCAGCTCCATAGACCAATGGGTTCTGCCCATAGTGAATAACGGTTGGCCCATACAGGAACCAAAAGACCAATAAACCAACGAGCAAACGAAGCATACTAGTTGACCCTGTCCATGCAGGGGAAGGGGATTGGTGCATAGAGGAAATCCAACAAGCATACACCATTTGCTCCTGCCCACAGGGGGGATAGGGATTGGTGTGTTGGTTAATTTGTTATTGGTTATGTGCTATGGTTATAACTCTCCAGAGTTATATCTTTTGCACTGCTGATGGGAGCGGGAAACCAGGAAACCAATAAACCAATTTTTGCTGCCCATGGGGGAAGGGATTGGGTTATTGGTTTCTTGGTTAGTAGGTTTTCCACCCGCCAAGGCTTTAACTCTTGTAACATCAATGGAAGCGGTATACCAACAAACCAATAAGCCAATGCCCAGCGATTTAGGCGGTGACCCTGTCTGTGTGTGTGTGCTTGTTTGTTGGTGTCACACTGTCACACCTTGTGTTCCATAACTTGAATCTTCCCTCCGTGCTTTTCAGATCGGGCCTAGCATAGCTGCATGTACGGACATTGCGCACTGTAGATATTCTTTGAAACAATGGATGGAGTGAACCAGTGCATCTATGTGTCGGCGTTGCTTGAGCTTTCGAGTGAATGCCATCCGAGATCTGCCAGCACGGGTCCAGACTACACCAGGTTACACGATGTTACACACTACATTACATTCTTACTGTCGACGGATGACGATACGTCATCGTTGGGGGCCTTCTTGGACTGCCGGTCGCACAAAAAAATTCCAGTCAGCCAGCGTTGTTTCAAGGGTGCCTGGTGCCCCTGGATTGGCATGGGTTCCGCGTGTGTCCCTAATGGGAGATTGCTTCGAAGTGAGCTTCATGGGTCCTGCTCGCTGCTGACTCAAGTTGCCCACCCCCGAGAGCATTAATTCACCAGCTGATACACTCGAGGCGGCTCGGCGTTGCAGTTTGCAGCCCAATGTGGTCATGCTCTGCGCTGCCACGGCAGCCGGACAAATCGGCCGGGCACTCGGGGTCCCGAAAAGGCTACGCATTTGGGACACTACTTTCGAAGACCATTGAGCTACAGGCTGCTAAGTTGGCTGCTTTGCAGACGAGCTCATGTTTGAGTCTGAAAGTCTTTGTTCAGGTTTCATCCCAGCAGACAGCTGCTCAGGTCATCAGTGGCAACAGACACACACGTCTCTGGAGGCAGCCCGGGCGCAGGTGCCTTCAGCTCGCAAGCTGTGAGCAGGGCAGAGTGGATCAAGATTGTGCCCCTTCGTAGTGGTAGGAATAGTAGTAGTAGTAGTAGTAGTAGTAGTAGCAGCAGTGGGAGTAGTAGTAGCAGTAGTAGCAGCAGTAGTAGTAGTAGCAGCAGCAACAGCCGCAGTAGTAGTAGCAGTACTAGTAGTAGTAGCAGTACTAGCAGCCGTAGCAGTAGCAGTAGCAGTAGCAGTAGCGGTAGCAGTAGCAGTAGCAGTAGCGGTAGCGGTAGCAGTAGCAGTAGCAGTTGTTACTGTTGCTGCTGTTGTTGTTGTCCTTGTTATCTGATTTTGATCTTGTTCCTGTGGGTGGCGGTGTTGGTGTTGTCGGTGTTGTCGTTGTCGCCGTCGTCTTTGTTCGTGGTGGTGTCGGTGGGATTGATAGTGTTGCTGTTGTTCATGCTGCTGCTGTTGTTGTTGTTGCTGCTGTTGCCGATGCTGGCGCTGGTGATGCTGGTGGTGCTGTTGCTGTTGTTGTTGTTGTTGTTGTTGCTGCTGCTGCTGCTGTTGTTGTTTACGCAGTGGCTTAGGACTTGTGTTGGTGCTGATGTACATGATGTAGGTGTCAACTATCACTATTCTAGAGTTCGGTGTCGTCGTCACATTCCTTGCCACGGCTGATCCGCTCCTGCCATTGAAAACGAGAGTAATCTTGCTGAGAGGCTGTGACTGTGGTGGATGGACCAGGACATGTAAATGTCTGCAGCGGGAACGGTGTGGCTGCGTTAGAATTGCTGGTCTCATCGTCCAGCACGTTTATGCCTGGAAAGGTCCAGTCCTCCAATTGAAA